TCTGTGAGAGATCTCTGCTCCCAGGGAAGACCCTCCCCTTGCTTTTTCTTCTTTCCCCACCCTCCCTTATGGGTTTTATCCGGCTGGAAAATCCTTTTTCAGCCAAGGCGAGTCACCATGGAGATCTCGCCGACCCTAGTCTCCTCCCCTCCGCTGAGAGCAGCATGCGTGCTCGCAGGGTGCCCTCCCGGCTGGCGCGTGATGCCCGCGTCTCCCCGTATATAAAGGATATATATGCATATATACCCTTCCCATCCTGGTTTTGCGAAGCTGCTCCTCCCCATGCTGGAAAACGGGGCCGTGGAGCAGAAGTTTCCCTGCTGGGGCTTCCCTCAGAGGGCTGGGTGCCCCCGGGGGACGTGGTGGTGGGTGGAGGGCTGGGGTGCCCGTGCCGGCCCTCACGCCAGCTCCCTGCCCGCAGGAGACACGGCTGAAGGAGGGCATCGGAAAGCTAAAGCCGCACGAGGAGCCGCTGCGCTCGGAGCTGCTCAGCGGCAAGTTCACCATTCTGGTAGGTGGGGGCGTCGTGTGTCCCCCCCCAAGTTACCCCAACCGGGCGGCTCGTCCCAGCTCCGCGCGGGCATCCTCGGGTGCGGTGGGAGCCTGACCTTGTTTCCTCGTCAGAGCGTGCGGGACCCCTCGGGAGCCTCCATTGCCCTCTTCACGGCCAAGCTGCACCACCCCAGCAAGAGCGTGCAGCACGTGGTGCTCCAGGCGCTCTTCTACCTGCTGGACCGAGCGGTGGAGAGGTGAGCCGGGGTACCGTGTCTTACGGCGGCAGGTCCCCGGGGAGCCCCTTCCCTCCCAGGGGCGAGGGGAGATGCTGCTGCTTGCTGAGGTTTTGATGAAATCCCTCTGAAAGGCTTCGCAGGGAAAAAGATGTGCCGTCTGCCCCGTGAATGTGAATTCCCGAAGGTGAAATTGTGGCTGAGTCCGTCTGCGTGCCTCCGGCTGTCCCGTCTCTAGTTAGGGGGGAGAAGGGGGTCACAGCTCCCTGTGGCTTGAAATTCCTTGTCTTCCTCCAGTTTGAACTCAAGCCAGTCATCCCCGTGGAGGCATTCAGCAGGGGAACAAAATCCCCCGAGCCCAGAACCAGGCTCTTTGCAGCCTTTCCCTGCCCACGTCCAGGTTTCAGTTTAGCAAAGCCCCTGATTCCTGCAGGCTTCGGCCGGGGAGGAGGCGGCCCCGCCGCCGGCGAGACCTAACGCCAGCCCTGCCGAGAAAATATAAAGCCGGGACGTCCCATTCATCCTGCTGGGCTCTTTCCATTTCTGAACTTACCTATCACGGGCGGTGCAGCTGAGATAGGCTTAAGACATGAGCCAGGCTTAAATAAGGGTTGTAGGAGGAGGTGGTGGAGCGGCTGGGAAATGCGAGCTTTGGGTCTGTGAGTCCTTCTGGAAGCACAGAAGGGGATTCTCTGGGGTCAGCAAGCTGAAGACGAGGCTGGCGTGGGGCAGATCTGCTCGTGCAGGAGCTGAGCAGTTGGATGTTGCAGGGTGGATGTTGCTCTTTCCCCTCTCTCAGCTTTGAAACCCAGAGGAACGGGCTGGTGTTCATCTACGACATGGCGGGCTCGCAGTACACCAACTTCGAGCTGGACCTCAGCAAGAAGATCCTCAACCTGCTGAAGGTAACGGCCGGGGGAGACACAGTGTCCGGGGATGTCACGCAGGCCACTTGCTCACCGAGTACGTGAAGTCCTGTGGTTTGGGCATAAATTCTCGTGCCAGACCACGCTGACCACGTCTCGGCCGAGGAGCACCGGCTAAAAAAAGAGCGCAGGACGGGGTCGGGAGCCTGCCGGGCTGGACCCGGCCGGGGCTGCGGTGTCCCACGGGTGAGGGGGGGGATCAGCTGTCCCCGCGCCGGATTCCTCTCGCAGCTGCTGGCAGCGCTTTTGGGAAAACAGATGCAAATTATTTTTTAATCGTGCTGGCATTTCATGCCTCCTCCCTTCTCCGGAAAAAAGAAATAACAGTAAATATTGGCCGGGGTGTGTTCTCCACACAAATCCAAGCTCCGAGGCTTCACCGCTCCCCCGCGGAGCCAAGCCCTCTGCCTACCTAATTCCAAGGAAATAATTTGTTTCTGTATCGGAACATAAAAATAAGCGTGGCCGTGGGCTGCCGGCTCTGTGCAAGGCACGCTTCGGATGCGGCATTGCCACCTCGGGGTCCCTTTGTGGGTCGTCACCTGTGCTGGGACGACCCCCGCCCCGGCAGAGCACGGAGAGGGGCCGGTTCCTCCCTGGCAGTGTGGATCTGACCCCCTCCTGCCCGCAGGGTGCCTTCCCGGCTCGGCTCAAGAAGGTTTTCATCGTGGGAGCGCCCATGTGGTTTCGCGTGCCCTACTCCATCATCAGCCTGCTGCTGAAGGAGAAGCTGCGGGAGCGGGTGAGTGTGGGACCCTCGGCGGGGAGGGCTGAGGCTGTTTTCCCTTTGGGACAGGGTGGTGTAAGCCCCCTGCACCCCTCAGCCCCCTCCGCTGGAAGCTGCTGAGCCCAAATCCGTGGGAAACAGAGGTTTTCTCAGCCTGTTTCATAGGGGCCAAGATGTTTCGGTATTTTCAGCAAATATCTGAACCCCTTCTGAGATGGCCTTCGATTTCTTCCTCTGCGGTGAGGCTGCCAGCAGCAGCAAGCGGAGGCAATGAGAAATGATTAAAGGGAAAGGAAACCTCTGCTGAGCACGCAGGAGAAAAGAGAAACTTAAATGCCTGCACGCAGGCCCTATCTGGCAAAGCCAAAAATACCTAAAACGGTATCCTCAGCATCAGCGGCGCTGCTGATAGAGCCCATTTCCAGCCCCATGTCTCCCTGGGCTGGACTTTGCCCCTCTGCTTTTGGGAGGAGCTCGGAGCCGCTTGCAAATTCGGAGCTGGGTGTCAGTGTGGGGAACTGCGGGGGGCCAGACCCTGCCCCACCGCTGGTGTTCCCCTGGGTGCCCTCCCGGGGCAGGGGAGGAAGGGGGAAGACCCCGATGCTGTTGGGGGAAATCTCCGGGCTCTATCGGGACCGCGCCAGACCATTGGCATCCCTGTCCCCATCCCCAGCGAACCCTCTCCATCCTTCTGGGAGTCACCCCTGCTCCTCCTCTTCCTCCCGCAGGTGCAGATGGTGAAGATGTCGGAGCTGAAGGAGCACCTGCCCCGAG